CCGATTCACTTATAGGAGGTGATTCTGTGAAGAATTCCTCGAAATTGTGAGGGTCGAAGGTCGAAGTAGGAATAGCTGCCAAGCGACTCCGCTTTTCAGATAGATTAGCCGACAGTTCGGTCCTTTCTTGCACTTCGGAGAAATCTTCATCATGGATTTGATCCAACAGAATCAGGTTGCTCTCGTGCTCCTTGATATCTGATTCCAGATCTGACCTAGCCTTCTCGGTTTAAATGAAGCATATAGCCCCTTGAATCAACTCCATTCCGCGTCCCTTGACCTCTTTTCTGGCCTTCGAAGCCGACCATACCAACTCGGAATCTCGCAGCTTGGTTATTGCCTTGTACTTCGCATCAAGTTCGGCAAGTTGTTTATGCAAGGTGTAAGCAGTTGATTCGGATTCACAGAGCCTACCTTGAACGCCGGTAAATTCATCCTGAAGTTGATTATTCCGGTCATATTGGTCTTGCAACTCGCCTTTCACTTTTGCGAGTTCGGATGTGAGATTGTCAACTCGGTCTTCCAGTTCTTGTCTAGAGCTGGAAGAGGAGTGAAGAACGGCCTCAAGAGCAGAAAGTATTTTCTTCCACGTAACAATCTCCTTTTCCCGGTCAATGACCAGCCCCTCGTAGTGTTCAATCATGTCGTTAAGCTCGCCGTTAGCCTGGCATGATGCATAAAACCGGGATGGCCAGTCAGTTCGAAGAATGGTAGCACAGTCATAAAAATAAAGCGGAACTAACCCGAGATGAATGATGAGCATGAAGCAAGTAGCGTTCATGAATCGCAGGGCGCCACTTGTCGAAATCTGGCAAGATCGCACCCGATCGGGTCTTGAAGCATCAGAAAACGCTGCCTTCTTTCTCCATAGCTGCGAAGGAAGAAGAGTTGTAGAAATTGGAATCTGAACAAAGACAAAAACTTTTAAGTGAATATAAACCACCAAACCTGAAAGCGATTTGACTTGGGGGACAAGAACAGGCTTCAACAACTTCGAGGAAGCATCTCGAAACTCAGAATCTCCCTTTTTAGGAGATGCGCTCTGGGCAGTCTTCTCGCTATCAGGCTGGGGAAAGGAAGACATATCAACAGGTCGGGGAGGACCCATTGGTTCAGTAGGAGGGGACGATCGAGGTGAACGGTCAGTCCGGGCCCTTGATTTCTCCCTTCGCGGAGAAGAGTCACCACGGGATGACTTGTCTCTCTTCCTGCGAACCAAGTTCTTAAGTGGTTCGTTGCTAAAATCATCTCGGGGAGGACGAGGAGAATCACGACGAGGAGATCGGTCTCTCCGAGGAGAACGTTCGTCACGACGTTCGCGACGAGGCGTTAACCTATAAGCAGCAACGGATCTGGCTCCCTCGGTGCTGTTGTCATCAACCAGCAGGGTCCTGCTGTAGTCTTTTTTGTCAATGGCGGCCGCAAGGAACGCCTTGTTTTCATCACAAGCCTCTGCTATCGGCTTGGAGAGTTTCTTACGCTGGGCAGTAAGGGCCCGAGCTGACATTCCCTGAGTTGAGGGAGGAGGCGGAAGACGATGAAGTAGATTGGGGGGACTCATCCTGAGTTTTCGGTTGGCTTCGACGAACCGATCGAGGGTGAAAGAATTCCAAAGGGTTTCCCCTTCAAGAATTGTTTTGAAGAACTTGACAAATTCTTCAGTCGGAAGAGTCGAAGCGATAAAAGCTGCGAAGTGAAACAACGAGTTTGATCAGTAAAAAATAAAACAACCAGGAAAGGAATATACGACCTAATTTCTATCAGGCTTCGCAGACCACTTCCATGGGAGTACATCGGAAAGATTTCCAATTGAAGCAGGAGTTTTCGTAATCCGGAACCAAGGATGGTGCCAGTTTTCATCTTTGTTCGGGAGGTGCGAAATGACGTTCCTGTTGGCGTTTGGATACGCCGAGAAGTACCCTGTTTTCTTTGATGAACTCCTTACGCTTAGGAGTTCATTCAGCTCGGGGACTCCAATAACGTAGCCAGCCTCTGCCGCAACGGTTATGATCCCGAGGATGGTTCGGAGGAGATTGGGGGTTAGTTGAGGTAAAGCAATCTCAAGAGCCGCCAAGAATCGAACTAGGGCTTTGGGAAAGGGGAAGGTCAATCCGCAGCCCTTGAAGTAGATTTCGTAAACACAAAAGTAGCCATCGCGGTGGTTCTCCGGGGATTCCGTAGGATCGGCTATCTGTGCTTCCGCTATGATTCCAGGAGGAATTTGACAAAGCCCCTTTAATCGCTCGAGGGATTGAAGAATACAGGTGGATTTGTAATGAGGACCGGCAATGTTGTTAGGACGAGTGCATTCGTCGTTGCTAGAACGTCTCTCATCGTAAGACGGAGATTCAGGTCTCTCAGAATCGGAAGTCATCGGAGAAAAATGAAAAATTCAAGATCCGGCGAAGAGGGGTTCGGCGAAGAAAAGTAGAGAGAAGTTTTGATTAAAGCGCAAAAGTAAAAGTAGAAAATAATGGTGAAAAGAAGTTACCTTACACAAGCTAAATGATGGAACCGCCTCGGAAGTTGTGTGGGAAGTGGGAAGGTTTTTCCCATTTTAATAGTAATTAATTAATATACGGTCATAATGATGATAGATGTCACTCGGTTAAAAATGGCTAGTGCCGAAATTAAAGGAGTGATGAGATTTTCGGCGGGAAATCAGAAAGATTCTCGAGCGCAATCTTTGGTCATTTAAGCATTTAAAGTCCTCCGAATTGGAATGGCATTTCGAAGAACTTGGGGGGCTAATTGTTAGTGTCGGATCCCGCACCAGAGGTCCAGGACCAACCAAAAATTACCATGTAGTCAGGGTAACGGCCCATAAAGGATAAAGCCCATTGGACCCACAAGTCAAAAGAACAGTCGAAGTGGTTATCACCATAAGGAGAATCCGAAGTGACTGCACTTCGACACCAGTCCAGAGACGAAGTCATGGTCAAATCGGTCCAAGGACATTTGGGCCAAAAGCCGAGGCCCATGAAGATCAGGATCAATTCAAATTCGAACGTTAAGCATTAAAATCAAAACGGACGCATTTAAGAGAATAATTGTACTTAATTAGCCATTTAAATGTCGTTTTTCTATGTATAAATATAAAGGCCAATGACCATGTAAAGGGGATCTTCCTCTCGAGTAAGAAATACTATAGCAATTTTTGTAGCAATTCATAAGTTTTTGCATATTTATTTTTGTCCCTCAAGAGTAATCTTTCCTACTTAATAAAAATACTTGAGTGTGTGAATCCGACATCCACACTGACCAGTTATGAGAAGAAGAAGTTCTTCAGAGATATCAACCACTACTACTGGGATGAACCTTATCTGTACAAGAAAGGATCGGATGGTCTCTTTAGAAGGTGCATTGCTGAGGAGGAAGTACAAGGAGTGCTGGAACATTGTCATTGTTCTGCATATGGAGGGCATTTTGCAACTTTCAAAACAGTTCAGAAGGTATTATATGCTGGACTTTGGTGGCCTTCCATGTCCAAAGACGCCCACGGATTCATAACCAAATGTGATCCCTGCGAGAGGATGGGGAATATATCTAGGAGGAATGAAAAGCCACAAAACCCGATCTTGGAGGTTGAAGTTTTCGACGTTGAGAGAATCGATTTCATGGGTCCTTTCAACCGTTATTCTCATGGGAATAATTATATCCTAGTTGTTGTGGATTACGTCTACAAATGGGTTGAAGCCATTACGTCACCAACTAATTATCATAAGGTAGTCTTGAACCTGTTCAAAAGCATAATTTCCCCCAGATTTGGTGTACCTAGAGTTGTGATCAGTGACGGTGGTTCTCACTTCATCAACAAAGTCTTTGAGAGATTGTTAAAGAAGCATGGTGTCAAGCACAAGGTTGCTACTCCTTATCATCCTTAGACTAGTGGCCAAGTAGAAGTATCTAACCGTCAGATCAAAGCTATACTTACTAGAGTTGTTGGTGTTTCAAAGAGAGATTGGTCTACCAAGTTGGATGATACAGTTTGGGCCTACCGGACTGCCTACAAGACGCCTATAGGAAGAACTCCATTCTAGATGTTGTATGGAAAGTCATGTCACCTTCCAGTCGAGGTTAAATACAAAGCAATCTGGGCAACCAAGTTATTAAATCCGGATATAAAGGAGGCTCAAGAGAAGAGATCAGTTGACTTACACGAACTTGAAGAGATAAGGCTGGAAGCTTATGAGAGTTCAAAAGTGTATAAGGAGAGGACAAAAGCTTTCCATGACAAGAAGATTATCACCAAAGACTTCAAGGTTGGTGAGTGCTGCTATTCAATTCTTGTCTGAAGCTGTTTCCGGGTAAATTGAAGTCAAGATGGTCAGGACCCTTCTGCATCAAGGAGATCCATCCTTATAGAGCAATCACTCTAGCTGGTAAGAGTGGAGATTTCACAGTGAATGGCCAAAGGTTCAAGAAGTACTAGGCAGATCAAATCCTTTCAGAGATGACCTCAGTTCATCTCCAGGAACCTCTTGATGTTTAAGGGAGTAAGGAAGTCAAGCTAATGACTTAAAACAAGTTCACTTGGGAGGAAGTCCCATGTCTATCTCTGTACATATTTTTGTTTTCCTTGTTATTTTTAATGCATTTTGGTAGTGCTTTCAGGAGATAAGTGTTAAGAGCTGAGTGAAGTCGATTCTAGCTCTAAGTGTGCAATAGAATACTCGACCACATCCTGCAAGGAGCAAGTGTAGCTGTGCAATCGAGTATGAGGCGGTTTTCAGTCTCAAGATTTTTGAAGTTTTAACATGTCACTCTATCACGCGAGGCCATGTTCTGATGAAGAGTGTGGTCGAGTATATGTGATGATTTTGGCCCAAAATTTTTAAAAATCATCACTATACTCGATCAGCAAAAGCCACTTGGTGTTTAGAGGAAGATGTCGAGTATGACGTTGTTTTTGATCCAAAACTTCACAAACTCATCATCATACTCGATCAACAAAAGCTACAGAAACCTATAGTAAATTGGTAGAGTATACAAAAGGTAGCGGTTCGATATGAGATTTTTTTGGGTCAACTAAGAACAGTGTTTTCCCACTAAGAGACAGAAGTGTGACCTACCATGTCTCCTTGTTCCCCAACTCAACGATTTCAACGAATCAACTAAGGGAAGAGGCGTTTCTTTCTCATGAAGGGTCAAGCATTATCACCCACACACTTATTTCGCAAGAGATAAGCATTATCACCCACACACTTATTTCACAAGAGATAAGGTACATTTCCTCCATCTCTCTCATTTCCGTCTTCTACCTCACTCTCTCTTCTCTCACTCTCGACCGACACTTTACTTTCCTTATCCTATCGCAATCTCTCATCTCTCTCCATCTTTTTCCAACGACACTCTCATTCAACTCTCACCTTATCTCTTATCTCAAATCGCAAAAATCATCTCTCTCACTTCGCTTTCCACCATCAAAGCTTCAAAACACCCCAAGAACAACCATTCTTCACTCATCCATCTCCCTAATCGCTTACCCTTCCATTTCTCTTTGAATTCGTTTTCATTCTCACTCTTCACTACCGTTATCAAGTTCATCTTTTTCATCTCCTCAACCTCCATCATCCTTAATCTTCATCACTTTACCACCATCTCGAGCCGATTTCTCTTTTGTTTCTCCGATTTGGGAACCAATACTCTTCAAGCTGTTGGGTTGTTACTCTTGTCAATTCATCACCCTTGAAGCTTGACCGTACTCGACCACATCGAAGAAGAAGACGACTCACCTGAAAAGAAGCTACTCGACCGTTGTCATCAACACTCGACCGCCGTTTCACCAAAGTACTCGACCGTGAGAAAGGAGACTCACTCAACCGATCACCACAACTTATTTTAGAAAGAGAAGAAAAGGGTTGAGATACTCGATGCTATACTCGACCGCACTCTACCTCAATTCGTCGTCTCAAAGTACTCACCGCTGCCTCCAACACACAACCACTAAAGTCACTCAACCACAAACCAAGAAGAAAATCATATTCTCGACCTCGCAACTCAACACATACTCGACCTCCTCTCGACCGTATCACCTCGTTAACCACTCGACCGCAAAAATCAGAAACCACTCAAACCGGTTTACTCGACGCTATACTTGACCAACACCGGTTTATCTCTCAAAACATTTCCTATTTTGTATTCATAACTATCTCTTGAAACTAACCTATTAACGTTTTGCATTAAGTTCTAATTCTTTTCAGGATCATCATAAGCAATTAAAGTGGCGATTAATCAATGGATGCTGATAACAACGTCGATGAAGCTGAATCCTAATCTACAAGAGCAGAAAGAGAAAAACAGGCATACGAGGGTTTCAGAACAAAAATGGAACGCTCTGCAGGTCGTCGTAGTCAGAGACGAGCTGAGATAGGACGAGGGAAGAGGGCACTCACGGAGAGATACAAACTGGTAGATGAGGACTTGGAAGTCGAGTATGTGCCTGAGCAATCTGGCAGAGCCACAAAGCTTCTACACAAGCCCGACGAACTAACAGTTGAAGAGTACATCAAACTCTTCAAGCTAAATGATTTATGGGGAACAAGATATTTGTCCTCTCAAACACTGGCACAGTTGGGGTTACTCGAAGACATTCAGCATTTGTTCTAGAGTTATCACTTGGATACTCTAATGTCCTACCCATATGTTGCCTACAAGGAGGAAACCATTCAGCTCCTCTCCACACTGCAAGTGGAGCTCTACCAGGGGTTGACAGAAGACGAGTTGGAGAGTGAAGGATTGGGATTCTTGACATTCTCCGTGTATGGCTAGAGGTACATGTTGACGATCAAGCGCTTAGAAGGATTGTTTGGTTTTCCTAGTAGAACGGGAACCAAACCAAAGTTTGACAGAGGTGAGTTGAAGGACTTGTGGCTCACCATTGGAAGCTCCGCACCGCTGAACTCTGCGAGGTCTAAGAGCAACCAAATGTGCAGCCCTGTTATCAGATACTTTCAGCGTTCAGTGGCTAATGCCCTCTACTCTAGAGAGATAACAGGCACTGTGACCAACTCTGATATGGAGATGATCGATTCAGCTCTCAGGGTACTCTCCACCAAACTAAGAATGGTTTAACTCTGCAAGGTGATATCAGTGACACACCTCCAGCAATACTTCTTTTGATCCACCTATGTGGATACAAGAAGTGGGCGATCACTAACAACAACAAGAGAGCACGAGGAGCTTTATGCATAGGAGGTGTTGTGACACCAATTCTGATCGCCTACAAGGTTTCAATCACATCTGAAGGAACTAATCCAAGAGCAATGAACTTCGAGCATTTGCATCACTGTGAGTTCCTCGAGTATGGAATGGTTGGCGACAGGCATCGTTACCGGTTTGAGCATCCAACGAACAAGAAAGCTAACATCTTTCTCCCCTGCCTTGCAGCTACACGCATCATAGAGGGAAACAACATTGACTTTGAGCCTGCAATTGATGACCTATATGTCGAGAGCGCTCAGTCAATGGATGAGGATGTTCCTGTAGAAGAAGCTGTAGAAGAAAAAGATGATGAGATGGATGAGGATAGCAAAGAGGAGTATGATACAAGAATGTATCACTTTGGCGAGCAAGTAGCACCAGCGAGGGAGAGTAAGAGCTTGAGTGAAGCTCACAAAAATGCAAGCCTGCTGAAGAAGTGGAACAAGAAGCAGGATAAGATCATCGCTAAGTCCCTGAAGACTATCAAGTCTCTGAAGGTTATGATAAGTTGCTCCTCTTCCAGCACGGCTATGCCACAGGGACAGCCACCTCAGGACATGCCCTCAAGGAGATATGATGAGCCTAAGCCAAGGCAATACGGGCCTGAGCCAAGTGAGCATGGAGTCTCACATGTCCCTGCGAGGCATTCCTCACACGAGCCTCGGGAGCACAAGAGAAGGAAGAGAGCTGAATTTGCTCGCTCTAGCAGCAAGGCACGACTTCTCCATGTTAGAAGTTCACTCGACCGCGGTGCTGGCCGCAACAGAGGAGAAGAGGTCAAGTATCACGAGGGAGATGGAGCTGAGACACAACAGGGAGACTCTTCAATGGCCTGGCAGGAATCGCAGGCAGGCATTGATGATCACCTCCGCTCCTTCTTCGATTGAGGTACGCACTACTCTCCACCATTGTTAAATACCATCCTTTGTTTGTTTTTGTTTCTGTGATGTTTTTGTCCTGAGTACTCTCTTCCAAATTTGGTCACACAGAGGACTGTGTGATTTAAGTTTAGGGAGGGCTCAAGAAGTGTTTGTTATCTAATAAAGTTTCTTTTGTTCTTATTTTCAAAAAAATATTTCATTGTACATACTCTTGAGTCTGCATGCATCTATGTTTTTGAAAAAAGCCTAAAAATTTGAAAAATTTCTGAAAATGATTTCACAAAAACAGAGTGTTCATGTAGTTGCATTTTCATCTTAAGATAGAGTCTAGAATGTTTCATATAGGAGTGTTGCATATGCATAGGGGATGATGATGAGAGAACCTTGTCATCATGCTCATTTACTGGATGAATTCAATGCCCTTGTTGTTAGCTGTTTAATGCTTGTGATAGAACTTGAAGTAAGACAGAACCATATTTGGAATTCACAACTTGACTCTCTTGTTCTGATTAAAGCATGCTTGATGTGATTCTTTTCTCTGTCAATATGAACATGAACTTGACTTATAATTATCATGTCTTTGCATTGTTGTTGAAGTTGTGGCTACCAATACACATACTTGGATTTTCTTTCACCTTCCACCACTCTTGCTAATCCAAGTAGCTGATTCCCATTATTGGAACAGTTTCCCCTACCCTGAACCTAGCCTTTCTTTCAAGACCTAAATAAATTTGTGTGTGTCTGAGGCCTATTTCCATATTGAGCTTGGTAGAAAGTGTTAGGTAAGAACCAACAAAAATGGTATCCCATGTAGTTCTAGTCCACGCTTTTTGGGCTAGATAGGACTAGGTGGGATTTTTACTTTGGGTTTGGGAATGTGTTTGGAAAGAAAAAGAGAAAGAAAGACAAGTGTTAAATGTTCTTAGGAGATAGAAGTGAAATAGAAAAGAATATCTTGTTAGTCTAGTAAAGGATTTGGGAAGCTGGAAAATAAAAGAAGTTAGGCTTTGTACAAAGTAAAAAGGAAGGCAAAAGCCTAGAAATGTCTTAAGTCATGAGATGAAAAGAAGAGCCTTAGATGTTAAAGAGAGTCCCAATCCGCTAGAAAGTCTAAAAGAAAACCTCTCCTTGGAACAGAACCAAAAAGAAAAAACGGGTTGATCCAAAAGTAAATGGAAACATGCCTTGAGTGCAAAGGGTAGAACTAGGATCATTTATGGGGTTTAGAGATAGGACCATCTATTGGATTTAATATGCTCATTGTTGTTTGGGTAGATGAGATCTGTTCTTGTATGCATAGGTTGGTTCTAACCTTTAGCATTATGCTAAAGCTCGGTCCATTCGTGAGAGTTCCCTGTTACTATGAAAAAATCTGAAACCATTTACAGAGGAACCATCTTTGTTTCTCAGCCTTGTCCTTTAAACCAAATGAGTTCTTCAACAATGTCTTGCTTGATTCACGATTTGAACTTAATGAATGGTAAAGGGAATTGATGATCTGAAGGTGTGTGTAGATTGGAACAAATGTTAAGTTGTCTTGTGATGAATATGGCTAAAGTTTTTGAGTAGAGTTTGGTCTCTATGCATTCCACAACTACTAACTTAGACATTGAGTTCATTTGCTTTGTTTGCATGCTTTGGTTCTGAGTCCCCGCTTTCAAACTTTTCCTCCAGCTTGTTCTTAATTGTTTGCTTAAGGGAAATCAAAGAATAAGTTTGGGGGAGTTGATAAGTCTGTATTTTACTTGTTTTGAGCATTCATTTGTCATCGCTTTAGCATCGTTTCATCACTGTTTCATACCATTCTCCATCATTTATCTTCACTTTGCATATTTAGGATAGTTTTGCATACATTTTGCACTTCTGAGTTGTTTTCAGGTGATTTGGAGCTGTTGGTGAGCTGATTGGAAGAAGCAAAGCAGAATAAAGCACATATTCGACAACCACTCGACTGTGTGGTCGAGTATCTCTAGCACCAATCCTACTCAGTTACTCGACCGCGACTCTAGCACCACCACTCGACGGTATGGTCGAGTACTTCAACAAATTCTTCCTCAAACTACTCGATCTCAACTCACCTATGCAAGCTATCAACAAATACTCGACCAAGTACTCGACCTTGTTGGTCGAGTATCCGCATCACCTCATACTCGGCAACATGGTCGAGTAACCGCAGCACGCACCACATGACATCACACTCGACCTAGCAGCTTCAGAGTCTTCTTAAATCTGCACTCAACCAGACATTTGAGCATAAAGAAGAGAAGAGGATGAAGCAGACACTCGACCTACCACTCTACCTAAACACTCAACCACGTTGTGACCAGAGCAAGAATCCGCAAAGACTTCAGCTTTACTCGACCGAGCATACTCGATCGCATGGGTCGAGTGTCCCCATAAACCGCTTTAGTATTTTGTCGTTTTGTATTTTAGAGCTTCCTAGTATTTGCTATAAATAGGTTGTTTCCCTTAATTTTCGACTTAAGTTTTATTCTGCAGAACAATTAGTGTTTTCTTCACATTTGTAATCCAAATTACTCTTAATCTATTCAGTATTTGCTTTTGATTTCTTCTACAAAGTTGTTCATCTTGTTAAGATCTTGTTGTTATGAAGTTTTAATGCATTTCTGGGTTTATGTTCTTGGTTATGAAGTTTGAGTAGTGATTAGGGTTCTTGAGGATGGGCTAGGGTAGTTTAGAATCCTTAATCTGCTAGGTAGTTGAGTTTGAATGGTAGATCTCTTCTGGATTAGTTGTTCTTAATGCTAATGATCAACTGGAATTTGAGCCCAGACATTTCCGCACCCAGAAGGTGTTCGATGAAATGTTTGAACCACTATTTCCAAAGATTTGTGTCTCTGTACCAAGGTGTTGGTTACAGAGAGCGTTTTGGCTTTAACTTGTTGATTTGTAATGCCTGTTAAGTTAGCTTTCGTCAATGGTGATTGAGTCTGGAACTAGCTTAGCTTGAGGATCTCTGATGCGATAGCACTTTGATTTAGTGTTGAACTTGTTGTCTAGGGATAGTTTGTTGAGCATGTCAACTACTCGATTACCCCATCCTCGGGAATTTCTCTTCCAATTGATTTCTCTGTTTGCATTGCTATTGGTTGCTTGTTCTTGTTTCATGTTGTTTAGTTTTTGCATTTCTTATCTGTTTTCACTCTTATACTCGACCACACCCAGTGTCTGGCAACAAACTGTGCGGTAGAGTATATCTGTCGTATTTCCTGTCTATTACCCGACCTGTTACTCGACCACCCCCAGCTCATGGTATCAGCCAGTTGTGGTCGAGTGTTTTTCGTAATTCTGCTAGAATTTTTGTTTTCTACAAGTTCACTTAGGACTGTTAGAAACCCGCAAACCTGTTTTTGTTTGGATTGACACCTTAAAATACTATAATGACATGATAGTGATTTAAGGAATTGAGAACTAGTTAAAATCCTACTATCAAGCTTTTGCGGAGGCATCTTTCAGCTGATGAGTTGAAATGGTTTTTGGAGCATCCACAGTGAGTGCAATGGTGGTGGTGATAAGAATTATCACGTTGAAGAGAGTGCAATGGTGGTGGTGTAAATGACATGGCAATTATGTGGCAAGTTTAGTGTTGAAAATTATCAACAGAGTTGATTAATTTTGAGTGGCCACATGGAACACTCTCATTGGTTGCTTAGGTTGTTGTTCTTTTTCTTTTCACCTCTATTATTTAACATAAATTATTTTTTAATAATAATATATTATATATAATTTATACCAAAATTCATCATTTTTTTATACTCTATGCATAGAGACTCGTTTCATTTGATTTGGACACAAAAACTTTTTGTACTATATTTTTTTTTCCAATTACCTTTCAATAATTTAGTTTCAAACAGCGTTTTAATAAATGGATTCAATTAATATTTTTCCAGATTGGTAGTAACGTTTTAGCAGAAGGGAGAGGAAATTACTGTAACTTTTTACATTATGTTTCTGCCAACACGTATAACCAATCACACCCCTTGTTCTAAAACGCGGCCACCTAGGCCGTTAAATCGGCGATTAGACGCTCGGCGGTTGGCAGCCGCAGCGATTACACCAAAATCGGTTATGTAATCGGAAATCTAAAAAAAAGTTTCATTTTTATGGATTATAAGGTTGATAACGTAAGATGGATTATAGATCTGTTGTAATTAGGTAAGAATCCAGAGAAAAACAAAGGAAAAATGACATAATTGTGAAAAAAAAACTGAAACGGCAGAAATTAGGGTTCTGTGGTCGCAGAGGCAATGAAGAAGACGAGGGCAAATTTGTAATTTCACGTTTCAATAAAGTCAAAAATGAAGAAAATAGCAAAATCGCATTATATAGGTATCGAACCTTGGATAGGTGCATTCGAAAGGGCGGACGTGGACCACTAGACTAAACAACATTCTTAATTTTATCATCCGTATTTTAGTATATATACATATATATAATAAAATTATATAAAAAAATCCCCGATTAATTCCCGTTTAATCTCCGATTTTCTCTCTAGGCGCTAGGCCCAATCCGAACGCCCGACTAGCGCCTAGCGATTTTTTGAACAAGGATCACACCCTATAATCCTCAAAAAAAAAAGTATTGATGATTTTGTGGACCTCGATGTGATGAGGTTTAGCGGGCTCTCTAAGGGGCCTTGATGTAATTGTTCCCAAAAAGAAAAAAATCCTCAAAACAGTAATATTTACCACAAAAAAGAATATTCTTTGAGGGCTGTAAACCTAGAAACTTGTACTATATATGCGTCGTTTTTATAAGTCCCAAAGTTGTACAATTGTCATATCCCATCTTGCTCTTATTCTCGCAGCGCAGTGACGGAGACGACTCTAGACATGGACAAGGTAAAGCCGAGAACTCCTCCACTCTCTTTAGTTAATCGTTTCTGATGTTGAATCTTTCCCTTATCTGTTTAATCATTTTCTTTGCTTGATTTTCTCGATTATGATTAAACATGGACTCTAGCTTTTCTTTGTTTAATCGTTTCTTTGCCATCTTGTTTACTTTAATAATAAATAGTTATTAAAAATAGTCGTGAGATACTCAAAGATCGAAATAGAATCTGGAGATCCCGAGATCTCTAGCAGAGATCTGAAGAATACGGCGGATGAGGACCTTAATGAGGGATTTGTTCTCCCTATTGAAAAAAACGCTAAAGTATTATTTTTCTTCTGAGGAGAAGCCTTAACTTATTCGTTATGTTCTTTTTCCTTTACATGCCTGATAAAGAGCTTAGATTAGTCCAGTTTTGATGATTTTGTACATTCTAATATGTCTCCTTAACTGTTTTGTGAAGCATTGCATCATTGAGTTTGATGGAGCTTCGAAAGGAAACCCAGGAAGAGCTGGTTCAGGAGCTGTTCTGCGTAATTCAGATGGAACTGTCATCGCCTCCTACCGTGAAGGATTAGGCACTGCAACAAGCAACCAGGCGGAATATCGAGGTCTGAACCGTGGCTTGGAGGCTGCTCGCGAAAAAGGGTATACACACGTGAAGGCCTATGGGGACTCTGAGCTTGTCGTTAAGCAGGTCAGTTGACTTACAAGTATCTATCTTCTGTTTACTCTCTCGAAGACCTTCTGATAGCTATCTTGAAACAGACTCGGGGTGAATGGCAAGTCAGACACCCGAGAATGGCAGAGCAGTGGAAGCAGACGAACGAGCTTAAGAGCCAATTCAAGTCATTCGATATCACGCATGTTCCCAGGGTATTATTGCACAGATCCTTTCATGTTTTGAACAATCGACAACCGCTTGTCTAATTTCCAAACTATCTATGGTCTGCAGGAATACAACTCTGAAGCTGATAGCCATGCAAACAGCGGGACCTATCTCCAAGGTGACTGATTTTTCGCTTGCAATCTGAATTCAATTATATTTCCCAGGGGAATTTAGTTAAGTTTGATCTTGTTTCTGCTCCTCTTTGATGCCCTCTTAGATGGCCAGGTCCAAGAGATTCCAGGCAAGAAGAGCTACTACTGAAGTAGAGAGAGATCTTCATCTTCCACATGCTTTGAATAACATGCTTTTCCTTTTCTTCTTCACTTCAGATAAACATGTTTTCAATCTCCCTTTAGAATTACAAAACAATGTTTTTTTTTTTTTGAAATTATTAGCTAAAATTTACTGCTTTTCTTGGTGGTCACTGGTCAAGAATTATATGATTCACACACACTACAAATTCAAGGAACAAAAGAAAGTAGTCAGAAAGAATTTAGATTCTTGAATCCAAACCCACAAGTGAAATTAGAATATTATGAACAGTGCTTTCACCTTTCTCCTGGTTAAGCAATTTCCCGAGAACTCGAGCTACCATGGACCATGGTTTTACCTGTTATTTGGATATACTTAAATCGTCATGTATTGGTTTGATTGAAAGACAGAGAACCATAAATACAAATCTTTTCTTCTCACCTGTTCCAGGATTTCAAAGAAATGCCATATGTGGAGTTCTTCGAGTTCCAATGTTTAGCCCAAGAGCCCTTCGCCTCTCATCTAAAAGCATTCCTTCAGTTGTGTCTTCAGCTCGCTTAAACCAACAATATTTGATAACTCGTCCATCTTGGCTTTTGTCTTACCACATTGCTCAAACGCACTTCTTTTCCTCTGCTCTTGGAGAAACCAGCGCAACAATTCCCACAAAGATGGATTAGGAAACGAGTAGGAAGGAATTTGACCAAAGAAAATCAGCAATTTTGACAAGTCCAAGATCAGAGAAAATCACCTGATTCTTGATCGTATCGAAGAATTGAGCTATTGATCTTCAAAACAAGTGAGAAGTGAGAGAGAGAGAGAGACGTGTACGTCTTTGGTAAAGGCTTCTTTCGTATTATAATTAAATCAAAAATATATGAATAAGATATGAATTCGAAAAACTACATAACATCAACTTGGGTAGATAGAAACACATGGGTTTAGCTGGGTAATTACTAATCGGAAAAATAAATGAGACAGAAACTCCACCTAATTATCATTTCATCATATTTTTTTATAATATCTTTCTAAGTAAAGTTAAATATTTTTCTTTTTTGTTATATTTTTTTTAATAATGTATATAATAATTTCTTAATTATTTAAATATTTTTGAAGTTAAAATTTAATTTACTTTTATAAAAAATAACAAAACTTAAGTCCGTACATGGCATGGACCATAATGCTAGTATATATATATATATTTGTGAGGGTAAATATGGGTCTTACTAAACAAAGCCCAGATTATCTGTATTTTTTTTTAAAAAATTTATTATTATTATTATTTTTTTTTTATAACTCGGGTGTCCGACCCCACCGAGGTGGAACCGACTAGCGTGGAACCCACATGCGTCATCTGCCCTAGGGTACCCCACATCCCAGAGAGCTGGCGATTCCCTCATGTAAATCCGCCAGTGGCCGTGTCTCGAACCCTGGTGGCAGAAGTCACAGCCGTGACCCCTTTACCACTAGGCCACAAGGCCCGGTTAAAAATTATTTTTTTATGTGATAAGATTTTTTGTTTCCTTGTTTGTTTAAGTTTATATATATTTTGATAAATTAGAATTGAAAATTGAAAACAAATAATATTATTATTGTTTGAAATGAATATGTTTTACTGATTTAATATTTTAAAATTTACCGTTAAATTAATATCTTGAAATATCAAAAGTTATATTTTTACAAAATTATACAAGTTTACGTTTATAAAAGAATATCATGTTAACTCTATTTTATTAGACTGTCTTTCAATAGTCATAGCTATGGTTCTCAGTACTCCAAGAATTAACCACCAGAATAATTTCTCCTTTTTCATCGAATGTATATTCTTATGTCGTATTTTTCATAATTTATATCATTATTATCATATTATTTTATCAGATCTATCTATAGTAACTTTAGTTTAACTTTTATTTTTCATATTCATTACGTATAATTTAATAACTAATTTTTTTGTTTTATCTGCATATTGTTATACTAGAATAGACGGAAAAATAGCGCCAAGAATTGGTAATAGTAAAACTATAAGTGATCAAAAATTATAACAAGATATGTTGAACAACAATGGTAAAACAAAATGTGTGATCTTACTTGCGACAAAATAAAATAATGACGAAATAATCAATCACAAAATAAATTGTATGGCTTCGATCCTGCTCGGTGTTTGATGGGTGTTCCGATTGAGCCTATCATTCTTTTGCTTCTAAAGTGGAAGAGAAACTGCTCAAACTTATTTTTGCCAAGAGGAAACGACAACATAGAGAGGACCTTGTACAGCACTAATGTAACTGATTAGAGGTCCATATTAAAAGGAGTCCAAGATTTAATTCAAAAACTGGCCATTTCCAGGCAAAATTCGAAACTAGTTAGAAGCTGAAGCAGTCTCTCTAACTAACATTTGAGTGAGTGGAAAATCATACAAAAGGTATGAGTACTGGGACTGCGGGATAATAACTAGACAAGTGGAGCGTCACATGGGAGAATTATGATCATCATGCACATGATTAGGAGCATGACATTCGCTGGTCTCATCTTCTAATATTCTCTTATTTTCTAGTGTTTTTCTTTATAACTAAAGCTGTCAACAGACTCAACACCGGAAAAAAATACACACACAAGCCAAGACAAATCCAAACTCGACCTTGGACCCTTCCCCATTTTCCTATCGTCTGGTCAAGTCAAATATGGCTTTTGCCAATTTGATTTTTATTATATACTAAAGTGCTATTTGCCACACACAAAAAAAAAAAAAAAAAAAAAAAAAAAAAAAAAAAAAAAACCAACCGTAGGGGTTTTTTTTTTTTTTAAGCCATATTTGACTTTTATTATATAAACAATTTGAGGTGATATTTTATCGTCAACCACATTATCTTTTCGGCTTTTTGAGATTCGTGACTAATTGCTGATGAGCATAATTATAAACGAAAAAGAACAAGTAACGCTTGCAGTTACGGTGGTTAGCATTATGCTGTTTAGAACACTAGACATTAGCTTTTTCTTTCTAGACATTGCATTGTTTTGTATTGTAACAAAAATTTTTTTTTTAAAAAGTCTCTCTTGATGAGCCATAATTTGGCAAATGACAAGCAATTTATCTTCTGATACTTGTTATTAGTTTACAGAAGAAATGGTACATTATGTTACTTCTCTTTCTTCAACTGATAGTAGGTTTTTAACTAAGATCAATTATCCTTAAATCACTATCATGTCATTGCAGTATTTAAGGTGTCAATCCAAATGGGTGTGATGCTAGCAATCAAGATGCAATCAGATTTCACAGAGTCAAGCTAAGCAATAACAAGTTTTGAGGTTGTTAACAGTTCCAGTGATCATGCAGAAAACAGTAATTCTAACAGAAACAGATAACACACTCGATCACACAGCTTGATGCCAAGCACTGGATGTGGTCGAGTGCCAGGTCGAGTACCAAACAGAAACTGCAACAAATGTACTCGACTGCACAGTCCGTTTCCAAACCGCTAAATGTGGTCGAGTACTTCAAGTGAAATAAGTAAAAATGCAAAAACTAAACAACAAGTAACGAGATCAAGCAATCAATAACGATGTGAACAAAGAAATCAATTGGAAGAGAAATTCCCGAGGATGGGGTAATCGAGTAGTGAAGTCTCCTTAATCTAACAGGTGGTTAACATGCTCAACAAACTATCCCTAGACAACAAGTTCAATAACCAAACCAAAATGCTACCGCAACAGAGATCCTCAAGCAAAGCTAGTCCCAGACTCAATCACCATTGACGAGAGCTAACCTAACAGGCATTACAAATCAACAAGTTAAAGTCAAAACGCTCCCTGTAACCAATACCTTGGTACAGAGCCACGAATCTCTGGAATTAGTGGTTCAGACATTTCATCGAACACCTTTTGGGTGCGGAAATGTCTGGGCTCAGATTCCAGTTGATCAGAAAGCAATCAGCATTAAGAACAACTAATCCAGAAGGGATCTACCAATCAAACTCAACCACCTAGCAGATCAAGGATTCTAAACTACTCTAACCCATCCTCAAGAACCCTAATCACTACTCAAAATTCATAACCAAGAACACAAACCCAGAAATACATAAAAACTTCATATTAGCAAGATCTCAACAAGATGAACAACTTTGTAGAAGAAATCAAAAGCAAATACTCAATAGATTAAGAGAAATCTGGATTACAAATATGAAGAAAGCACTAATTGTTCTGCAGAATAAAACTTAGACAGAATAAAACTTAGTCTGAAAATTATGAAAAACAACCTATTTATAGCAAATACTAGGAAACCCTAAATCACAAGACGACAAAGTATTAAGGCGGTTTACGGAGACATTCGGCTTCGTGCAATCGAGTGTAGAGGTCGAGCAAAGCTGGCTTCTTTGCGGTTTCTTGATCTGGTCATGATGCGATCGAGTGACTAGGTCGAGTATGCACTCGAGTCCCGCTTCATCTTCTTCTCTTCCTTATGCTCAGTGTCTGGTTGAGTTGGGATCTGAGAAACCTCTGAAGCGTGCAGTCGAGTGCTTGGTCGAGTAAGTTGGTGGAGGATACTCGACTGCGTGCTCGAGTCGTGATCTGGAGTCGTGGTCTACTTGGTGAAGGAGCTGGTACTCGACCACGAGGTCGAGTGGTAGGTCGAGTTGGTGAAGGAGAGGGTACTCGACCACGAGGTCGAGTTAGTGAAGGAGAGGGTACTCGACTTGGTCATGGACTTGGTGATCGACTTGGTGCTCGACTTGGTGCTCGACTTGGTCGTGGTCGAGTGCATTTGGAAGGTCATGATGATGGTGCTCGACCTCGTGGTCGAGCATACTGATGGGTTCTGGTCCACTTCTTTCAATTTGCTCACCAACAGCTCCAAATCACCTGAAAACAACTCAAATATGCAACATGCATACAAAACTATCCTAATCATGCAAAGTGATGACAAATGATGAAGAATGGTATGAAACAATGACGAAATGATGATAAAGTGATGCTAAATGGATGCTCAAAACAAGTAAAATATAGACATATCAACTCCCCCAAACTTAGTCTTTGCTTGCCCTCAAGCAAACAATTAAGAACAAGCTGGAGGAGAGGTTTGAAAGCGGGGACTCAGAACCAAAGCATGCAGACAAAGCAAATGAACTCAATGTCCAAGTTAGTAATTGTGGAATGCTTAGAGACCAAAACTCAACTTAAAAACTTTAGCCATATTCATCACAAGACAACCTAACATTTGTTCCAATCTACACACACCTTCAGATCATCAATTCCCTTTAACATTGATTAAGCTCAAACCATGAATCAAGCAAAACATTGTTGAAGAACTCATTTGGTTTAAAGGACAAGGCTGAGAAACAAAGATGGTTCCTCTGTAAATGGTTTCTGACTTTTCCACAGTAACAGGGAACTCTCATGAATGGACAGAGCTTTAGTAGAATGCTAAAGGTTAGAACCAACCTACGCATACAAGAACAGACCCCATCTACCCAAATAACCATAAGTATATCAAACTCCATAGATGGTCATATCTCTAAACCCCAGAAATGATCCTAATTCTACCCTTTTGCACTCAAGGCATGTTTCAATAATCTCTTGGATCAACCCATTCTTTGTTTTTGGTTTTTGTTCTAAGGAGAGGTTTTCTTTTAGACTTTCTAGCGGATTGGGACTTTCTTTAACAACTAAGGCTCTTCTTCTCATCTCATGACTTAAGACAACTCTAGGCTTTTGCCTTTCTTTTTACTTTGCACAGAGCCTAACTTCTTTTATTTTCAAGCTTCCCAATTCCTTTACTAGACTAACATGATATTCTTTTATGTTTCACTTCCATCTCCTAAGAACAATAACACTTGTCTTTCTTTCTCATTTTTATTCCAAACACATTCCCAAACCCAAAGTAAAACTCCCACCTAGTCCTATCTAGCCCAAAAAGCGTGGACTAGAACTACATGGGATACCATTCTTGTCGGTTCATAC